AAAAAAAATTTCTCCACCTATTTATGATCCTAACTTCCAAGTCATGTTCATAATTCAATGAACTTTAGGTTGTTAAACGACTATCCAATTCAAAAAATCAACATCTTTCTATTTTATATTGGGTTCTTCCACTATTTTAAAAAGCCTTCGTTCAGTCTACCTAGGCGTGCGTCTAAACCTAGACAGTACCTAGACTATCTAACTAGCACCTGGGTAGTACCTAGGCTGCCCACCTAAGTTTTGTGAGTGTTTAGGGGAGCATTATCTGCTTACGTGTACTGTAACATTTAAGCTTTGATTGTGATTTTTTATGTTGCAGCCTCTACGTGCTCCAACCTTCTTTAAACTTCTTTAACCTCCAAATATGAACACCTCACTACCTCTTTCGACGTTCAGCAAAACCTTATCGACCACCACTTAAATGAAGGAAGAAATCCGCCAAGACACTAGTCCGACGCCTAACCTTTCTATAACATTGATATCTACTATCAATTATTATAATTAAAATATTAAAAAAGGAAACCTCATATGCTCTAGGTATCAGGTCCAATGCCTAGGCCTCCTAACGCTCTCTATAACCTTGTTAGTTATTATTTAGCTATTTAGTATTTAAGTATGCATGACTTATTATGGATCTAAGATTGATATCTTTTTTATAAATTTATATGAATTTAATACATGTTTTTATCAATTACTATAATTAAATAATTTAAAAAGCTAAACGCCTAGGCACCAGCTAGGTGTACGCTTAGGCTCTAGGTACTAGGTGCTGGCTCAAACGCTTAGTTTGCCTAGCGCTTTCTGTAACATTGGGTTCTTAATAAAACTCTTGTGATCCAAGGGCCTTAAGGAAAAATTTTCCTCTATTTAACATCTCTTTTTTCTTTATCTGTACCGACTCCTCTTCTTCTTTCTTTTTCTTTTACATTCATTTCTTTCCTTTTTTTTTTCCATTATCTCCCAGAAACCGGACATTTGCCCCTTTCGCGCATATCAGAGGTGATCTTATGGTGGTGGTAACCCACCGCCGGCAAGGGGCATCCGGCGGCGAGATCCTTGCCAAGATTTTTTCCCTTTAATCACAGACATTTAATAATACCAAAATCAATTCACAAACCATGTAAAGATCCTATATAACTTTTCCTAACAACTGAGATTTCAAACTAAGCCAAATATTGAGAGAGAAGTTATACCTTGATATGCATGAGATTTTGACTATATACTTCTTCTTCCCCTTCTCTTTCTTGCTATATCTCACTAATTTAATTTTAATTTTTTTTCTCAGCCTGTAGAGAAATTCAAATGAGATAAGGAGGTAAAATTGGAAGAGAGATATCTTGAGATTAAAGTATGAAAATGTCTTTTAGAAGACAAGAAGGAGACACGACCCTCTTGCTCACACTCGTTTCCAACGGGAGAAAGCCACCAACTCCCAAGTTGGCTAAGAGATTGACAAAAAAAAAGAATTTTATAAAATTTACCGAAATCCCACAAACACAAATTCTATTTGCAAATAATATTGTTATGAGATGCACAAAACTAGTTATTTGCTTAAGGCTACTATAGTTCAGCTACTATTTTAATATAGTCCGGACCCACCATTTTATCCCCTGTTTGTTTTGTTATCTGGTTTGGACTACTTTCAAAGAGGGACTAAGTAATCCCTAACAAGCGGAATAATCCCTAGCAACGGGACTATGTTGAACTTACCAGACCCCTACATTTAAAATCTGGTATTATTTAACAAGAGGGACTACATTTTTGAGACAAAATTATCCTTACATTCTCGTTTAGTTTCATCAAGCTTCTTGTTTCCGGTATATCTTTTTCCTGCGGCTTTCTTCTCGGCGAGCAGAAAAAATGGATTAATGCATTCTTTGTTCTGAAAAAAAATTTGCTTTACTCGCAAGCATCAAAAAATGAACAAGTGATTAAACTTTAGGAATACTTAAATACAATAAAGTTTGCTTGATTAACTTGAACTAGGCATGACAACCTACATTGCTGATGCTAATATCCCCATCGTGCTTAATCTTCATGATGAAATTGCATACGTTGACATGTTGTTTTATGTGAATTTTGGAGATGAGCAACAGAGAACTTGGCAATTCCAAAAGAAGCATCTCAATAGCAGTTTGTCGAAAGGGTTATAATGTTGGACATGGAAAGTCTTACCAAATTAGTGAATTTTTCACCTCTCAATTCATGTAGACGTTCAACATTTTAATAAGTGTCAGCACAAATTTATGCAACGAATAGAAAAATGTAACTTATAATAAGGACTACCCTCAAACACCCATCAAATCAAATGATGGTAGCTAAAAAATGTCTCTCCGCCATTTCTCAATTTAGGTGGCGAAAAGCTCATCACCATTTTAATACTATCTTTTTATCCTTCACTTGATGTATGAATTTTTTTTAATATTCATGTACTATTTAATATTTTATTGAGAGAATCCCATGTTTAGCTGGAATTTTCTAGTTTTCAATGGTTGTGTTTTGCTAAATGTAGAAGTTTGTTTATTGCCTTTGACAGGCATAGAGAAGTATGTCTATTTTCTAGTTTTGATCATATGTCTATAGTTTAATTTTATTTTTTATTTTTTATTTTTATTTTTTTATTTTTATTTTTTTATTTTTATTTTTACTTAAAGACACATTAAAACAATATTAGCTGAGTGGAGGACAAAATTGTTAAGTTGGTTATAAACTTATAATATTAGTCCCAATGGTCTACTTTTTTTGAAAGTAACAATAGTCTTGAATATTTTAAGTTAGTCTGAATGTTAGTCAATATAGAAACAAACATTAGACTAGATTAAAATAGTCCTAGGATTATAAAATCAGGATTATAGTTTGAAGGTTAGAATACCCCTAATCCATGAATAAAAAGCAAACATGCCTTAATTGCTTCTCACTAAGTCCTTTTAGGCCTACCTCTAGATCTCTTTACCCCATTAACTATAGTATTATCACTTTTCCTAGCCAAGTTGAGATCGTTTACATAAATATATAATATATGTATTAATTGTTGAGCGGAACTTACCATCTTGATGTGATAATCTGTATGTCTCTTGAGTTCCCTTGCGCTATGTTGGACTATCTAAAAGTCCAACATTAGCATGTATAATAATTAATATGAAATCCTGCACAAAATGTTGAACATCAACATGCTTGATGACTAAATATGGATCTTGAGGAACCTGTTGAATGTTTCTATATCAATTTCCAAAAATTTGTTTGCCTCTGGTTGAGTTTCTGAGCTTATTATTGTCATAGGCTTGCTGATACTCCAGATCCTTGATTGTGTAAATGAATTCAAGTGGCACTAGGATCACATCCCAATTTGTACACGTGCATATTGCTCTTGATTTTCAGGATGATTAAATCTGTTGGAAAAGTAGAGATCAGGTAGCTTAGTCACTAATCCCACATAATACGACTCTAGAATAGACAGAAAACTAAAGAGTCTGCAAAAATAAATATGTTTACTTGGCCCCTCTGAGCCTATTTTTTTTGTGTTAGGTTTTTTTTTTTTGGTTGGGACAGGGGGGGGGGGGTGGGGCTTGGCTAGGGGGAAGGGGGTGTTGTACACAAGCCCCATGAAACAGGGGGGGTGGGGTGGGGCTTGGCTAGGGGGAAGGGGGTGTTGTACACAAGCCCCATGAAAATGTCTCTCAACTTATTAAAAGTGACCCTTTTCAAAAGGGAAAATTTCATCATTTCCCCATTAATGGGTAATGTCGCGAGAAAACTTCAAAGTTAAGAGGGTTTATGTGAGACACCCCAAAGTGCATGGTTTTTCCTTTGTTTTTTCTTTTCTGGGAAATTTTAAGTAGGTTATCTGGGGTTAAAAATAAACACCAAAAGGCTGAAGAACCTGTATAATGTTATGAGTGACATGAGGAAATAATGATAGTCAACTGATTGAAACAGCAAATAATAAAGTTATAAGATAAAAAGTATATATCCTGGATTAAAATACACCAAATTTAAATTACAGAAATGTAGTGCACACTCAATTAAACCACCAGTAAGTAGTGTAAAATATTTTTAAAGCCAAAAAAATTCTCCAAAAGTTGCAAGAAAGGGACAGCAATGATCAGGCTGAAACTTTTGAAAATCGCAAGTCTTAGAAATTAAAAAAAAATTCAATAGACTCATGCAGTTAGGCGTGAGGTAGCAAATTGGAATGCATGCAAGTGATTCCTGAGCTTTTAGTTGCTATTTATAGAAACTTATATAAGATGGAAGAAGCCGAGAACGGATTTCGTAAATTTTTTAGCGATAGGCGGTTCTCAAAGCCATGTTCTTATAATGCTCCAACATGACCAGATAAAGCTGGGGAAAAGACCACACAGCTGATACCATGTCAAATGTATGTAGCAGAAACCATAGAAATAACTGAAACAAGGAAAAAAAAAATTATCTTGTATTTTTGTCATTGTGATACATGTAACAATGTCCAGTGTTGATGTAAATTTGGATGCTCAAGTTAGAGCCTTTTATACAAATTGATGTTGCAAGTAAATGGTGCATAAATACGCTTGATGCAAAACTTACGTCTGTAGTATTTCCTAGTGTCTAAAAAAAGAAAATTTGGATATGCTAAAAGGAAATGTCCATGCAGAATATGATCTACCAAGCAAAGTCTTTATTCAATAGTTTGATTATCTATTTGTGAATCTTTTTACGAGGACTTTCTCCTCTTCCTCCGTTTACTTTGGAACAAAGATATCCTATGTGTTCTCGATAAAGACTTATTTATAGAGATTCATTTGCAAGTCTGTAAAGATTCATTTGAGACCTGTATCCATTCTAAATTTGTGTTTCCTGTAAGCTACCTTATGCAATCTTCCTCTATCTGGGTTGGGAATCCCCTTGGGACATTAATATGACATGATCTTCATATTTCATAAGGCTTCCTTTTTCAGGTAAAAAAAATTTGTTTTTTCCATTCTTCTTGCAATTTTTGGCTTAATATGAAAATATGTTTGCAGGTTATTTTCCCAAGCTTTGGTGAAAGATACATCTCTACAGTTCTTTTCCATTCCATACACGAGGAAGTCCAGAAAATGAGGACGAGGTGATGACTTGAAAATTTCTAAAGGGAATTTTGTAGCTCATGAGGGCAGTATATGATGTTACATGGTTCATCAGCTGAACCCTCGTCTTGAACTTAAGGAAATGCATATTACGTTCTCACAATTTTAGCACCTTGGACCAAAAGGGTTACCCAGTACCCTAAGTTCTGACACAAGCTAGCTTTATTGAGTAGATAGGCAAGTTGGTGGGTGCAGGAGCAACGAAGATCAGATTTGTTCGGCCTAATGGGTGTGAAATGTGTAGATTTTGTTTCATTAGTGAAGCTCTTTTCATTGCATCTAAATATCGCTTATGTCCAAATTTTGATTCATCTTGAGGAGATGTTTCATAATTTTAGCAGGAAAATAGTGACTGTTGTATATATTTACATTATTCTGAATGTGACCTGGTATTTTTGGTGAAATAGAGGACGAAACTGACATCCTCATTGAAGTAAGGGCTTTTAGCAGGAGCAATGTGACCTGGTATTTACATTAGTAGGCCTTATAACATGACTTTTTGTTCTAACAAGTTGTCAAAATTGTAGTTATATATAATTATTAAAGTAAGGGCTTTTCGCATTATATACCTTAGCTCTGTTATGAAATACTCCTAGAGTGTTCTTTTTTTTCTTTTAATTTTTTAACATAAATAATTATGTAAGGAGTAAAATGCCCCCCCTTAATGTTAACTAACCTAAACAGTTATTTGCACTTGAATACCCCAAAGTGTACTACATTTTTAACTTTGATGTCCAACTTTTTTTTGTGTGGATAAAAGTACCCCCAACGTTTAACAAAATTAAACTTTGATACCCCAAACTTCTAAAAAATGTTTTATTTCAATATTAGTCCCTCACATCCTTCATATTTTGAGATTAGTCCCCTCCATTGACATTGATATTAGGTCCCTCAACTTGTAAATTATTTTAGCAATTAGTGCCTCTTCTAAGAATCCATCTCATTAGTTAACTATAGTCAGCTTAGTGCTTAATCATGAATGATTAATTAGCAAAATGCCCCATTAAAGTATCATTGAGGAAGATAAATGTTTAACTTACTTTGGATTTGAGTTTTATTATAACTGGTTAAGGTGAAGATGTATAGAAAGTGTAAGTTAGAATGGTTTCGATTTGTCTCAGAAGGGCGCAAAACTTCAGTTTCGCAGCCCCAAGTAGTTAAAGTTGAGGAACAATCTTCCCAAATTCAAATGGGTGCTGACTAGTGGGATGAGTTTCTGAAGATTTATATAATTTGTGGATGTAATATCATTTTCAATGATGTGGGGGGACTAATATGAAAACATGAAAAAGACCGGAAGAGCTGATATCAAAAGTAACCCCTCCGACTAGTGAAGGTGGAGGAATACTCACCCAAATTCAAACAGGTGCTAAGTTGGGTGACAAGTTTCAGAAGATTTGTATGACTTGTGGATGCAATATCAATTTCCAATGATTTGATGGACTACTTTGAAACCATGAAAGACTGGAAGGGCTAATATCAAAATAGCACTCCGCGTTCGGGGACCTGTCATTGACGAAGCTAAGGGAATATATGTGAGAACAGAAATAGGGGAATAGATTAAGAGAGAAGAGAGAGAGAGAGAGAGAGAGAGAGAGGAGAAGATATGCACGTGATTTAATACCATGATTAAGTATTTTTGACAGTTTGTGCTTATTTTTTTCTTTAAACTCTTATATCCCAATTATTTTTTATGTTTGTTTAAATGAGATACACCCAATTTAAATTTTCATGTTGATATTTGAATTGACAAAAAACAAATATAATTTAAAAATAATTTAAATTTTCATATTATTTTTGACCGATATGAAACTAAGCTTTATTTGAGAAAGTATAGCATTGCAAAGTAAAAAATATTAAAATAGTGTTATACAAGGAAGGTGAATGTTTAAAACCAATATGGCAAAATGATTGATTTAAAGTATGTTAAAACGATGCAAAAGAGAATATGAAGTTTATTCCTAATCATTGATAGACTTCATAAAAAAATATAAATTAAAGATTAATTCTAACTCTAATATACTTTTATATGATAAAAACATCCACATAAGAATATAAAAGTACTGAAAATTTTTTATGAAACTCCCTTCTAAAGATTCCTAATTTCACTCAAAATAATTAAACTATTCTATAAAATATTCAGAAAATATTGTTTTTTATTTCTTCTATTTTATTTTTTATTGAGTTAAGATCAATCCTTCTTCAGGTTTATCATTTATCATTTCTCGGGTAATTCTAGAGTATTATCTTCATCATCTACATCAATTATGACATCAGGCCAATTTTGTATTTTTTATGCTATTATCTTTCTTGGGCTCGTTAATTTTTTATCATCTCATTTAACTTTACAAAGAAGTCAAATGTACTTATGATGTTCAACACAAACTGCTCAAAATATAGACTTTGATTTTTTTTCTATTTCAATGAGAATAAATATTAATTTCATATATATAAAATTCTTTGTGTTCCTAATTTATTACTTAAATAAATTAGAAGCTATCTCTTTATTTTCCTCTAAAATGAATTCTTCTGATGTGCATCCAATAAGAATTTCTGTTATTTCAATAATATTATCTTTGCTCTATCCCTGTCATTTTCCATAAAGATCTAAACTAAATACCTGTATTATTCATTATCAATTTCTCTTAGATTATAATATTAATATTTAATTTGAAGAACACTGTATGAAATTTATGAATACTTACTAATTTTTCTTATGTCTTCCATGGAGATTTTTTTCTTTGATTAGGATAAAGTTATTAAATTATTTTTTAATGTAACTCATTCAGTGCTTCATTAATAGATATGTCTTATGTTAATGCCAATTCAAGTGATTCATTGACGTTTTCTGAATTTTAGATTTATTTCTATCACTTTCCCATTTGCAAAGGAAATAACTCAATTCTTTTAAAGTTATCAGTAAATATTCTAAAAGTTTCTCCATATGTAATTCCTTGTATTCTTTTACCCTATATATATTATTAACGTCAAAGATTAAAGTTTTTAAATTAAAATCAATTAATGCTAAGGTATAATATTATAGTGTTTTATCATTTCTATGGATTTAAAACATCTATCAATTAATGTTACGAATGTATTTTGACTACCCCAACTTATTACTAAAATTATATAAAATTAATTTAATTTATATAGTGCCGATAATTTTTAATCTATAATATTTTTAAAAATTGTATCCATTAACCGGATGTTTTTAATCAAATGTTCCGCATACTGGATTTTAGCATAATGAAATAATACGTATACTGGATTTTGCCTTGTTTTTGCATCACTCTCTTTGCGTTATTATCAAAACTAATTGTTACTATTGAAACAATCCATTTTGAATGTTATTCACATAATGTCTAAGTAATTACATCGCTCTTATTCACACTTATCTCGAAACAAAGTACAACCTAGATGATCAATTAATAAAACTTTCAGAAAACTTAGTACAAAGCCTCAAAAGATTCGAATTACGTTTCTGGCTTTTCTACTGATTCTATTTATATCTTGTATGTGTATAATTTCTTGCAACTTCCACATTGTAGCGTAAATATAGCTCTTTAGATTGTAGAGTTAATGTAGTTGGAACATAGTTTGGAGGAACAAGGGGATATTGGTAGCATTCTCATAACCAATATTATACACTTGTGATAATTGGTAGAGGCTATGTTGGGTAGGCTGCTCTTAGTGTTCATAACCAAGTGTTAATAATACCTATAGTTTGGTTGCATAAAAATGTATATACCTTGTACTTGACAGGCTCCCATAGAGGTTATATGGACATGATAAACATAGGCAGCTCCTAATTTTAGTTCCTAACCCCTTCATGCCTGTTTTCAGTCTAAACTGGATTTGTTAGACACTTTTACTTGTCAATTTCAAGGAAATTAGAGAAGTTTTAGTGGATTGTGAAAGGGTCAATCTGAATGGTTTCGGTCCTACACTTTTACTAGTCATGCTTCATTCTTACGCTGCTATGCTATCCTTGTATACATGCATTCTGAATCTTTAGTTTATATGTGATTTTCCCCCTACATAATCTATGGCGCCTTTATGAAATTAACTTGGCTTTTAGACATTGAATGGAGTGGCGCCTTTATGCTTACCAATGCCGGCGCCTTTATGAAATTAACTTGGCTTTTAGACATTGAATGGAGTGGCGCCTTTATGCTTACCAATGCCAGATATGCATTATGTTCTTATTTACAATTAACAGTACCTCTTGGAATGCATGACAACCTGCCGGTGTCAATTTTCTGTTTTGCAAGAAAGGGTAATTATCTGCTCCTCCTTAATATCATTAAGGCTCTATACGCTACTCTCAGAGAGGAACCTGCTATTGAAATCAGCAAATAATACATAAGCATGTTGACCTCGCGGTCGCAATTTGTACCTGTTTCTGAAACTGGCAATGAAGTTCTATGATATCATCATCTCTGCCTGAAGTTCATATAGTTCTGCTAAATCTTACCTATTTCAATGAAGAAAGGATAATTTGGCTCTGATAAATTCTGAGTGGTTGCTGAAAATACTTCATTATATATATATATATATATATATAATAATGTGGTTGTAAATTTTGTCAAAGTGTATGGAATCATGTTAGGATGTATACAGTGTTGTTTGACTCACTGCAACCGCAATGCAAGTGTCAGGTGCATGCACTTCTTCTTGCAGCTGTTTTGTTCAGTTTTAAGATCTTGTGACTTGTAGCAAATGCAGGTGTTTGCTTTGGATTACAATTTTCCTGCAGTTGCAACTTGACTTTTTAAACTTATGCATCAATATCAGGAAGGGAAAAAAAAGCTTAAATTACCTTTCTCGTCTATTTTTTTATATTGAACTAAATTTCCTTTTGACATGTATTGGGCTTACTGGTTTCTTTTATGAAACAGATGGTCCACACCAAAGTTCTAGACCATCAGGCGGTTCTGGTACTCAAATTGAATTGGGACGGCCTGATCATCAGATTGAATTGGTTATGCAGGCTTGATCATCATAGATTATGCAGCGGCCTGATCATCAATATCGCCGCTCATAAATACTTCATTATTGTCTAGGGTTTCTATGCTTTTATGCAGGCTTCCTATGCTTCCCGCGCTGTTCTTCTGTTTGATTTGATATCGACTAAAAGCGTCAAAGTTAAATGGATGCGGGCTATCTAAAGAGCTTGCAATGCCTTAAAGCTTTGTTGTAAACTTGAAGCTTGAAGGATGACGAGAACTCGGACAAGGTTCTGTACGCGGAAGCAGGCGAAAGTGTACATAGTCAATTTCCTTTTCAGCATCTCGCAATGCCTCTTGGTTCAGTCTTCTTCAGGCGCCTGCAAGATTACAGTATTCTGGGTTTGCATGAGGAGCTTATATTACAGCAGCAAACTGCGTTTAGATGAGAACGATTGATGTCATCCCTAATGAAGAGTGATGGACTATGATAATGACAATCAAGTTCCTAACTATTTTGTTGGAAACTTGTGTATATTCT